CTTGGTCAACAGTCTTATAGAAATGAGATGTCACTGTCAAAACAGATATTTTAGAGACCTTTGAAAATTAAAACTGGCAATAATGGAATCTTGTTTGGGATGAAAATGGATAGGGACAGGCTTTTGTGTGAGCAGAGTACCCTGTGATGGCCTCAGATCCCTTTTGGGAGTGAAGTGAGTGCATTGGGGGAGGTGGTGGTGAATAGCAGCCATGAGAGCTGAGTCTCCTTGGGCCTTGCTTTGCTGTGGATGTCCTTGGGGAGGCAGGTGCCTCTGACCAAATCCTAAAATATCCTTTATTTTTCTGTGACACTTTATAGTTCAGCCAGGTAGAGAATTTTGTATTCAGAATCATTTTATTCCAGGACTGCCAAAATATTTTGTATGTTTTCTAGCGTTGAGGGCTTCTGAAGTTTTAAGGAAGATTTTCTTTATCTTTTGATTTTTTTTTATACCACTATAACATGATATTCAGTGTGCTGGTTGCATGTTAGACAAAGGAAATTTTCTTAATAATCTTTTTCTTTTCTTCTTTCCAATGTCCATTTGTTCCTAACTCCTTTTAAGAAGTAGTGCAGTGTCATGGTTAAGTTAATAACAGAGCTGGTTAAGAGCAGGAGTTCTTTCTGTGGAGGACGAGACAATAGTGGTTTTAGGCTGGCCATGTGGTCCAGCCACTCCACCTGCTGCTTGGCAGGAAGGCAGCCGATTGGTTTATTCCAATGAAACTGACCTACAGATACCGAGATGTGAATTCAATGTGATATTTACATGTTGCAGAAAATTATTCATTTTTTCCAACCACTTGGAAGTAAAAAACCATTGTCATGTCCTGTGGGCCACGCAGAGACAGGCATGGGCCTCTCTGGCCTGTGGGTCAGCGGTGAGCTCATGACCCTCTGGGTCAGGGCCTGAGTCGGGGGGTGGGGGGTCTAGGAGGTGAGGGAGGGCTTGATGGAGATGACAGAGGAGGCCCCTGTGCGTGTCTGTGGTCCCTGAAGGGTAGTGGCTCTCTATGTAGAAGCCGCATTACATGTTAAGTGCTGTTGTCCTGGTGGTCGATTGAGTCCCTGATGTGGGCTGTGTGCCAGAAGGTGATTACCTGGAATTATTGTTGAAGAGTAATGCTGTTAGTAATCCATACAGAACAAAAGCTATGCAACTTGTGAGTTCCTGATGTTCCTGTTTTTTATTTTGTCTCCCTTGCTGTTTGTTTTTCTCAAGTGACCTATCATCTTCACTCTGCATCCTTGTTGTGGAGAAAGGGTTGGCTGGAGGAGGTGGCCGGCTCGGAGTTTCGCTGGTGGTGTGGTGCTGGCCTCCGTGGGCGTCTTCCCTGCCTGCTGCGCTGGTCGTGCTTTTGCGTCGGTGGATGGGCTGGGCGCTGGTGGAGTCCCCTCGGCCTCGGCGTGGGCAGCAGGCAGGCTGGCCCCCAGGGCAGGGATGGAGGGTGTCCTGCTGCACATGCTCCGCTCTTCCTGCCTGTGCTGCTTGCAGAGCTCCTGCCTGCTCTCTGTGTGCCTGCTCCCTCAGCGTCTGTCTCCACTCTTCCCAGCAGCTTGTTCACTCCCACGCCGCCTGCCCCGCAGTGTCTGCCAAGGCCTGGCCCGGCTCGGCTGGTCTGAGCTCTGTGGACACAGTGCTACCCGCTCACAGCCCTGCTCTGGGGGAGCGGACCCCCCCCCCCCCCAGACCAGTGTTTGCAGCACTGCCTGCTCTGGCTCTCGTCATCCGGGAGGAGAGGAGGAAGGAAGTGCTTACTCATCCTAGTTCAGCCTTTTTCTGGTCTGATTATGCAGTGAGCATCATTTTTGCTTTTAAACTTTGGAGTAGAAAGTTCCGCATATAGCAGTAGAGGGCCTTGTGCAGGGGACCCCTGTGCCCTCAGATGGTGCTGACCCGGCCCACTTGGTTTCTTCTCCCGTTTTAAGCGGATCTGAGCCACAAAGCATTTGTACTTCACAAAGCCACAAAGCATTAAGTACTTCAATGAATGTGTTTGCTGCTCAGTCATGTCCAACTTTTTGCAACTCTAATAGCTTCTGGTGAATCATGTCGGGTCGTGATCTCCAAAGATTTAACTTTGCGAACAGGGAGCAGACTTGATCACTCAAGAGCGTTTGTGTAGCAGAATTTTATTAGAGTGAAAAAGGGCAGAGAAAGCCTCTGACACAAATATCAGAAGGGGGATGGGAGAGTGCCCCTGGAGCTAGTCTAAACAAGGCCTCACATACTCTAACCAGACCCACTCCCATAACTACATCTTAAATTAACAAGATTAGAATTAACAATACAAAGGTCTTACCAGATCCACTCCCATAAGTCTTAAGATAACAAGATTAGTCAGAAGGTTCTTGTTAAAAAGGAGAAGCATGTCCTCAAACAAGATACATTATTGTTACATAATCCTTAGTATATAAGGGCCTCATTACTTCATGGCAAATAGATGGGGAAACAATGGAAACAGTGGCTGACTTTATTTTTCTGGGCTCCCAAAATCACTGCAGATGGTGACTGCAGCCATAAAATTAAAAGACGCTTACTCTTTGGAAGGAAAGTTATGACCATCCTAGACAGCATATTAAAAAGCAGAGACATTACTTGCCCAACAAAGGTCCATCTAGTCAAGGCTATTGTTTTTCCAATAGTCATGTATGGATGTGAGAGTCAGACTATAAGGAAAGCTGAGCGCCGAAGAACTGATGCTTTTAAACTGTGGTGTTGGAGAAGACTCTTGAGAGTCCCTTGGACTGCATGGAGATCCAACCAGTCCATCCTAAAGGAGATCAGTCCTGGGTGTTCATTGGAAGGACTGATGTTGAAGCTGAAACTCCAGTACTTTGGCCACCTGATGTGAAGAACTGAGTCATCGGACAAGACCCTGATGCTGGGAAAGACTGAAGGCAGGAAAAGGGGATGACAGAGGATGATATGGTTGGATGGCATCACCGACTCGACGGACCTGAGTTTGAGCAAGCTCTGGGAGACAGTGAAGGACAGTGAAGCCTGGCATGCTGCAGTCCATGGGGTTGCAAAGAATCAGACACAACTGAACAACTGAACTGACCGCATCCTTAGTACAGAGCTTAAGATGAGTTGCTTTGTTGTGTGATCATTAGCTCTTATGTGACGGAGACAAAGCACAAAGACGAAGGTTTGTCCTTTTCTCCTTGAGAGCCCCAGATCCCTTTCTCCTCCTCCAGGGCCCTCGACCCCTTCCTCCGTGAGGGCCCTGGACTCCTTATCAACCTACCTAAGATTAGCTCTCTCGACCCCATGGACGGTAGCCCACCAGTGTCCTCTGCCCAGGAGAGTCCCCAGGCAAGAAGACTGGAGCGGGTGGCCGTCCCTTCTCCTGGGGACCTTCCCGACCCGGGGTGGAGCCCGGCCCTCCTGCAGGCGGACCCTTCGCCGCTGAGCCCAGGGAAGCCCCTTTACTGCGGCAGCTGTTCTTCAAAGTCAGGGGCGCTTTTCTTTAAAACACAACCCTGCCATTGGCACAATGCAAGCAAGGTGAATTGCGATTCCTTGATTTGATCAGATATTCAAGGTGCTGTTTTTCAGCGACATTTCAGTGATTTTTTTCCCCCAGTTTTGTTTGAATCTGTGTCTGGGCGAGACCTACCTTGTGACTGGCTGGTGTGTTCATCTCTTGGACAACCAGCTTCTGCTCCAGCAGTCACGCCGTCTCCCTCTCTCTTTGTTTTTCTTCTTTTTTGCTGGCTTCTGTTGTTGAGGAAACACAGCTATTTTCTCATTTCCCATAGAACCTCTCCTACTTGTCATTCATATGTTCCTCTGCCCTTTAAATCTCCTGTAAGTTGGTTAAATATGGAGTAGGTTAGGGTCACGCCTCCTCTGTTAGGTGCTCGGTGGGATCCATGTATGTGGATCAGGGGTGCGTAACCTCCGGTCCCCACCTATGTTGTTGGCCGCCACCTTGCCCACTGCTTGGACAGTTGATCACAAGCGGGTTCACTGTATTCTGGGCTTAGTGTGTTATGGCATTTTGGAAGTTCATGAGAGTAGTCAATACTCTGTGTTTCACAAGAATAACCAAAGTCCCTGTGTCTCCCTCTGTGTGGCAGTGTGGTGTTGGAGACCCTGCAATCACAGAGTCACAGGCAGGGTCGGCAGGCAAGGCACCACGTGTGTCTCGATCAGTTCAGTTCAGTCACTTGGTCGTGTCCGACTGTTTGCCACCACATGGACTGCAGCACACACATCTCCCTGTCCATCACCAGCTCCCAGAGCTTGCTCAAACTCACATCCATTGAGTTGGTGATGCCGTCCAACCACCTCATCCTCTGTCATCCCCTTCTCCTCCTGCCCTCAATCTTTCCCAGCATCAGGGTCTTTCCCAGTGAATCTGCAATCTTGATTCCAGCTTGTGCTTCATCCAGTCCAGCATTTCTCATGATGTACTCTGCATATAAATTAAATAAGCAGGGTGACAATATACAGCCTTGATGTATTCCTGTCTAGATGGTTTTCTGTAAACACTCGACTATAGGAAGCACACGTGACTGGAGGTGTGCTGTGTGTGTGTGACTGTGCGAGAATGACATGTGACTGGAGGTCCCTGGGTTTGCCTGTATGACTGTGCAGGAATGGCATGTGACTGGAGGTCCCCAGGTGTGTGTGTGTGACTGTGGGAATGACACGTGACTGGAGGTCCCCGGGTGTGTGTGTGTGACTGCAGGAATGACACATGACGAGGTCCCTGGGTTTGCCTGTGTGACTGTGCGTGAATGGCACATGACTGGAGGTCCCTGGGTGTGTGTGTGTGTGACTGTGGGAATGACACGTGACTGGAGGTCCCCGGGTGTGTGTGTGTGACTGCAGGAACGACACGTGACTGGAGGTCCCCAGGTCTGCATGTCTCTGGACTTGAAATGGCTGTTGGGTTGTGACTGCCATTGTGCCCACGAGTAAAACCGATGTGGAAAAACGTGAACTAATTTAAGATAATTCAGCCTTTTTCCCTTTTGTACTTACAGAGCCTTTTAGAAGATCCTTACCCGATGGTCCGTTCTGCAGGGATCCTTGGTGTTTGTAAAATAACCTCCAAATACTGGGAGATGATGCCTCCAACCATTCTTATTGATCTCCTCAAGAAGGTAACCGAGGAGCTGGCATTTGATTTGAGCTCTGCTGATGTGCGCTGTTCTGTCTTTAAGGTAAGCTTTTAAATTACATAAGGAGTAACTGTTTATCATAGAATAGTTCTAACTTATAGAGAAAAAAAAATTTAAAAATCACCCAAGCCCTACTCCATAAGTATAGCATTATTCACATTTTTGTTGTATATCCAAAGTCACTTGTGAAGAAAACAGAATAAAAGGGTTACCCAAAAAAGAAGTCTACTTGAAATAATACTAGTTTGTCATGTATGTTAGCAGAGGGGGCATAGTGTTTTAGAACAGGAGCTGCATGTATTTAAAATTTTTTAATGTTATTATATATCAGAATGAATTTTTTGTATACTGTAGGTACTTTGCACAAGAACCTACAAGAACATTCTTTGTCCATCACCCATTTCAGCAGTTCTCAGAACACATCCACACTTGTTTCATTGTAGCTGCTTCTGTCATCTCTCACACACAGTTACTTTGAAGCAAACCTAGGACATTTATCAGCTCATCTGTAATCATTTCAGTGTGATGTTTAAAATACATAGTCTTTTAGTGATGTCCTTGGTAGGTCCTCCTGGAGAAGGAAATAGCAACCCACTCCAGTATTCTTGCCTGGAAAATCCCATGGACAGAGGATCCTGGCAGGCCACAGTCCATGGGATCACAAAGAGTCGGACATGACTGAGTGATGTCATTTTCACTTTGGTAGGTTCTGTGCTTAAGACTCTGTGCTTTCACTGGAGGGGGTGCGGGTTTCATCCCGGGTCCGGGAAGTAAGATCCCACATGCTGTGCAAACAGCCAAAAAAATAAATAAAAAATAAAGTCTCTTAAAAATACGCATCTTTTTCCTAAAAACTGGAAAGAGAACGTGGTGCAGCATGTCAGCTCTCCAGACACGTGTCTGGTCTGAGCCTGGGCCGCTCCCTCGGATGCCTGTCTGAGGTGTGGGGACGGCCGTGGGGGAGCACGGGTCTGAGACGTGGGGGGCGCTGTGCCCCCCGTTTCCGTGCAGCATTGAGTCAGGACATACAGGGGAGCAGTGGGCTGTGAGGAGGACTGGAAGGACTCAGACCCTGGCTTTGGGACCTCCCACCAGAGCCTCCTGTTTCTTTCAACTCCAGTAAAACCCTTTAACGTTTAGCTCGGAAAGCTCTGGAAATTATTTCATAACTGCTTCAGTCTTGGTTGAATGAAGCAATGGATGAATTCACCATCAAGCACTGAAACCAGATTAATTCATTCAATGAATGCTTTTCTATGAAATTGTGTTGGCAAAAGTATCATTTTCTGTGGATATATTTGTTTTACTGATGATTTTAGTAAAGAGAGAACTGAATTTTTCTTACCTGAACTTTTCCTTGTTTATGTTCCAATTTTGAACTGTTTTTGTCTTTCTTGTTTCCCGTAGTGTCTACCGATAATTTTGGATAATAAATTGAGCCACCCATTATTAGAACAGCTTTTGCCAGCATTAAAATACTGTCTCCATGACAATTCAGAGAAAGTGAGGGTGGCTTTTGTTGATATGCTGCTGAAAGTTAAGGCTGTGAGGGCTGCTAAGGTAAGGTGACTAGAGGTTTGTTATTTAGTACATGAAATAAATAAGTTTATTTATTTTTATCAACAAAAGGACAAAACAAAAGTTTTGGTTCCAAGAGTTTCAGTGACCACATTTTAAACTAACTGATGTCTGGGATATTCTACCAGTTGTGTCATAAAATATAATTTGTTTTGTCGCTGTGTGCTGTCTTTTTGAAAGACATTAATATAAGCAGTCCCCACCTTAAATTATAGTTTTATCATATACCTGAAAATTTTTGTCGCAATATTTAAATGCTTGGCACACAGTAAGCACTTAAAATATTACTTGAGCATGTCGAATATGAGATCCCCATCCTACAACATCTTACAGAGGGAAGGAGGGTTTGTTGATTTGTGTGCATTTTGGTGTAAACCACTGAGGTGAGTGTTTTCTCTTAAGTCTTATTCTGTTCAGCTTTTGGCTACAAATGTCACTTATGAGGTTGCTAACTACATTATTATTTGGTAACAGAGTTTTCTTCCCCTACACAAGAATTCTCTGATATGTACTTTAAAGTGGTCTTTTGTCAGGGCTCAGGGTTTGGGAACAAGCTGACACGTCTGTCAGTGGGGGGTCAGTTCCCATCCCTGGGGTGTGTTCATGCTGTGAAATGCTGCCACGTGGCCATGACTAGGGGCACGCTTTCGTGGAAAGACCACTAAGTTAGACAGAGGGAGTGCAGATGAGTGGTGGGGTGCTGCCGGCTCTGAGAACAGGGACATACCTGTGTATTTGCTTAGAGCCGCTTCACATATATCCCTGGAGGAAAACAGGAAGTGGACACCAGTTTCTGAGGCAAGGGGAGGGGATTGGGTGTCTGGAGATGGGGTGCTGGGGAGGATTTGCCCCTCCCAAGGGTGCACATTATTTTATGCTTTTCGAATTTTGAACTGGATTTTTTTTAATGAGAAAGGGCTATTTTACTTGGCTTCCGTGGTCTCACTGCCTTGGTGTGTGGTCTGTTTCCGGACTGTGCCTGTCCATCCTCGGCCAGGGCCACAGCCCGAGCTCCTGCAGATCTGCGGACCATCCTGGTGTGTGTGCCCTCCGGCTCTTCCTTCAGAGTTCATGGTGCTCTGGGCTTTTGTACTTGTGTATGGAGTCTAGGATCAGGTTGTTGCTTCAACAGAAAGGCTGGCTGCAGTCTCGACTGGATTGCTGTTAACAGCTTATTGAAAGTGTGGTTCTGAGCCTGAAGTGGGAGTTGTGGTGTAGTGTTTTGTTTGAAGTGCACATCCGTTTGCAGAGGACCACTGAGGGGACGGCTGGTGAGATGGCAGAGATGTCCTGAGTCCCCAGGAGAGCAGGGGAGGGGCCAGGTGAGACCTGGACAACATGTCTGTGCCCAGAGAGTCTGGGGCCTGGGGAAGGAGGAGGAACAGAGGAGGAAGCATAATGCTTTAGTGAGACGCTTCTTGTGCCTTAATGCTTAGCTTGCCCAGGCAAGGCGGAGAGTGATTTAGCTGTAAGATCTCTGGAAGGTTTTGTTACGGGCACACAAGTCAGTTCTCTGAAAATCCAGATCACAGATGGACAGGCCAGTGGAGAGGTATCTAGGAGGAGCGGGTGGGTGTCCACTGGCCCAGGTTGGAGCGCACGCGCACAGGCGACACAGGCAGAGCCCGTGCTGCCAGCCTGCCGTCCTGACTGCTGTGTACAGTGAGGGGCATCCTGCCTTCACGACCCGTGAGTCCTGGAGGCGCTGCCCCGGAGGGCCGGGCGAAGGCTCTGGGCACAGACGCCGAAAGGTGGTGAGTAATTAACGCTAATTAGACAGTCAGGTCCTGAGGCCCCAGGCAGTCACCGCTTCTTAATTAGGCTTCTGTCTGTGTTTTCCATCCTCAGGGCTGGTGATTTCAAGTTGTTTACTGTTTGTTTTGAAACTCTGCAGTTTTTATGTTGTATAGCTGAGATTTAGGCCAAATCAACAGTATACTAATATTGAAATATCTTTATTAAAAAACCAATCTGGGATTTCTTAATATGCAATTATTTTTAACTTTAGAAATGAAACACCGGTTAGCAATTTTGTTTATGGTCTTGTCTGCTGTTAATGTCACCTGTGGGTAATATGTTTGGACTAAAAATAAGATCTCAGGTAAGTGAAGAATCCTGAATTAATCCGAACTGTTCTATTTCAGGAAAAGTAAATCAAAGAAAAATAGGTTAATATGGGGCTTTTCTGGAAAGGCAGACTTGCAGGGAATGTTTGCTGCAAGAATCACCCAGCCCTGGAACCTTGGCATTCGGTGTTTGTGCCAGCTGCTTGTGTCCGTTCAAGGTGGTCTGGTCTCCATGAGTGTGCAGGAACCAGCCCTTTCAGTGTGAAAACCCTGTTTTCAGCGCTGCCCCGTGGTCAGGGTTTCCTGGGTGTCTTGGTTGGTTTCAGCAGGTTTGGGTGAACTCTGCGGTCCTGAGGCTGAAGGGCCCTGCTCTCCCGAGCACCCAGCTTCCCTCTTCGCATCTGGTGCTGTGCCAGCTGCTCTGGATTGACACTCTGCTGATGGCGTGGCTGTCGGGCGGCTCCTGTCTTTCCTGCAGTAACTTTCAGAAATACCAAGTGTGTGCATGGAAGTGTCCCAGGGGCGTGTGGGGAGTGGTGGTAGGGTTGATGCTCAGACATCCCCTCCAGGGGAGGTGGAGTGTGTCCGTCTGGAAGTGCAGGGTCCTCAGGCCTGCAGGATGCACTGAGGTGTTGCGGGAGTGTGGAAGGCACTGGGCAGGCAGCGCATGGAAGCCTGTCCCTGGGGAGGGGCCTTTGTGTTTATGACTTGGAAACCTGAAGATACGTGCTGATGAGGAAGATCCACCAAAAGTCCTGGAAAGGGGACTGTCGTGGGAGCCAGTTCCTTGAGAAATGTTCGTGTCTCTATGCTGCTCCCGTTACACAGATGAGTGTGCCTGCACAAGTGACAGACAGGCTCTGACTGCCCCCATGCCCACTTCCCATAGAACTCTGTTTTATGTCTTTTATTCTGTGGCGTTTCTCGTTGTTTTAAATGCTTGTCTAGGAGTTTGGCCCTTTTCTATGGGCGGTGGACAACTTTGATGCTTTTGAGCTGAGGGCAGCAGGCAGTTCTGTGTGCATGTGTGTGCAGCAGCTGTAGGTGGTGGAGGAGGCACGTGGGCACCCGGTCAGCACTCGGGAGACAGCAGGAGAGGTGCCCATGGGCTGCCTGTGTCTGAGGCGGGAGACCAGGTGCTCGCTTTAGCCTTCTGTGCCAAACCTGTTGCACATGTTTAAATCCACTTTTCACGTTGATGGCCTGAAAATTGTGTTGTTTCAGGAAACTTTAAAATTATTAGGCTGATAATCATAATTGTCATTTGGGCGTCCACTGCTGCCCTGTTGGATTATAATCAAGTCCGGCAGCCTCGTGCTTAGCTGCCATGCATGTCAGTCTCCTTCAAACATGGGCTTGATTTCTCTGCAGAAGAGTCCCAGGTCCTGGTGGAGTCATTTGAAATGAGTTTTCTAGAATATGAAAATTAGCTCCTTTTTGATTGTGCTCTTGGTTTTCTTTTGCACCTGTGCCGTGTACAGTTTTGGAAAATATGCCCCATGGAGCACATTCTGGCGCGTCTGGAGTCGGACTCCCGACCGGTGTGCCGGCGCCTGGTGGGGCTCATCTTCAACTCCTTCCTGCCGGTGAACCAGCCGGAGGCCGTGTGGTGTGAGCGCTGCGTGGCGCTGCTGCAGATGAACCACGCAGCCGCGCGCAGGTTCTACCAGTACGCGCACGAGCACACGGCCTGCACCAACATAGGTATGCGTGGCCCTGCCCTGCGCCCCGCCCCCACGCCCCAGGACCTCCACACCCTGCACCCTTGCCCCCACACCCCAGGCCGCACCCCATACCCCCACACCCTGCACCCCCACAGCCCTGCACCCCCAGGCCCCACCTCACATCGCCCCCTATGCCCCACCCCCACACCACATATACCCCACACCCCCAGGCCGCACCCCATGCCCCCACACCCTGCACCCCCAGGCCCCCCACACCCCACACCGTGTATACCCCATACTGTGTGCCCCAACACCCCCACACGCTGAACCCCTCCCCTACACCCTGCGCCCCTGCCCCTATGCCCCCAGGCTCCCCCACACACACACCCCACGGCCCCGTGCTCCCGCCCCGCCGTGCCCGGCCCCTCACCCCAGCGCCTAGTCTGGCTCCCGCCTGCCCCACACGTTCGCCTCGCGCCCAGCGCAGTTTGGGCCATGACTGAGAACGTACAGTGTACGTACACATACCAGTGCAGTTCTTAATGAGGTCCCATAAAATAACACTGTAATTATTTGGGGTTATAATTTCACTGTTAGAAAATTTTGTTGAAGAAACACATGATTGTCTTACGCGCTTTAGCAAAACTGATCCACGTGATCCGCCACTGCCTGAACGCCTGCATCGGGAGAGCCCTGAGCGCCTGCAGGGAGGACGCGGAGGAGCCGGGGAAGGAGAACACTAGCGTGAGTCTGAGGCGGGCGCCGAGCGCCTGCTCAGGGTGGAGCCTGGCGGGTGGCTCCCCATGCTTAGAGGGACGGGTGGCAAGGCAGAGGCTCTGCTTCCACGAAATGTTACCTTGGCAGTGTTTTATTTTTCATTTATTCCTTTAGTTCTTATACAGCAACTAATTATTTTGGAGAATCACAAGTAATTTTTTGGAGCAACCTCCTGTGTGATCTTTGTAGTTCACTGTGGAGTCTAAGTAGGATCTAATACAAAGGAAATGCTATTATTGGTCACACCCTTTTCCCAGGTTTCTTTACCTTAAGCGTCTGTGGGGTGGCACACCCGGATGGGCCTGTTGGCCACCGTGTTTTACGCTAGATGGCTGGTGGGGCCCCTAAGGATTTGTTTACTGCTCCTGCCCGAAGATTCTACTAGAAACGTCGTCAGCTTAAATCTCAGGATACAAGCTTTATTGAGAATTGTTTAAAGTAATTTATCCAGGAGACTGTATAACTGATATTTCTTCAGAATCTGAAGTTATTGATTATATTATTAAAAAAGGAACATTTAAGACTTAGATACTTATTACTTACAAACAGTATCTTAAGCTTATAAATAAACTGTCATGCTTATGTACCTCTAAAGCAGGGTCCCCAGCCGGACTGGCCTGTCTGTGGCGTGTAAGGAGCCAGGCTGCATGGCGGAAAGTGGGCATCGGGTACTTACAGATGCTCCCCATTGCTGGCATTACTGCCTGAGTGCCCCCTCCTGCAGCTCATCAGCGGCACTAGACTCTCATCAGAGTGCGAACCCGACTGTGACCTGTGCATGTGGGGGCTCCAGGTTGCCCACTCCTCATGAGAATCTCATGCCTGATGAGCTGTGGCTGAAGCAGTGATGCTAACGCTGGGGGGCAGCTGCAAATACAGTGTCAGTAGTTGAGGTTGTACTGCACAGAGACCATAGTGAACAGCTACTTGCAGATGCATATCAAAACCTTATCAAGTGAGTGGCAAGTGACAATTAAGCTGCATCTGGTGGCAGGTTTTTAAGTCAGAATCCCACACTTATTTTAGTCCATGCCTGGCCTGCCCATTATTTTACTCACCACTTCTGTCCGTGCCTCTTTCTCGTTGTGCCCAGTTTTGGTAAGCCCATAAGCTTACTCCAGCCAAAATGAGTACAAAGCCAAATGTCACAGAGCTGCTGTGAAAATGGGGAAAGGCCGCACGGTGAGACAGCAGAAGCCTCTAAGACCGCCAACAAAAAGAAATGTGCATTTAAAAGAACATACCGAGTCCTAGTTAAGTCATGAGTTCATAGCAACAGGTGATTCACATTTTCCAAGCCTGGTTTGTATAACATGTGGCGACCAGCTATCCAATGAAGCCAGGAAACCATCAAAACTGCTTCACTACATGGAGAACAAGCACCCTGCATTAAAAGACAAGCCTTTGAAGTTTTTCAAAAGGAAAAAACGTGAACATGAAGAACAGAAGCCGTTACTGAAGGGCTACCACTTGATCAAATGTGTCTGCACTGAGAGTATCGTTCTTACTGGCTAACTGCATTGCTAAACTTAAGATGCCCTTTACTATTGGTGAAGAGTTGATCTTGCCTGCTGCTAAGGCCATTTGTTGTGAACTTTTAGGAGACACTGTAGTTCAAAAGGTGGCACATGGTCCTCTTTTGGCTAGCACCATAGCTAGATGAATTGATGAAACAGAGGGTAGTGAGGCACAGCGTTAGAGAGGACTGAATCACCGTAGTGTGCGGTCTAGGTTGATGAGCCTGCTGATGTTAGTAAGGCAGCAGTGCTTGTTTTCCGTGACATATTTTTCAGGAGGATGTGCATGAGGCCATGTGCACTTTTGTTGCCAACCAACAGCGCAGCTGCAGAACTATTCAAGTCTTTGAATGACTACATGCCAGGGAAATTGAACTGGTCATTTTGTATCGGCGTATACACGAATGGAGCAGCTGCCAAGACTGGGCGGCCTTCTGGTTTCACTGCTCGGGTCAGAGAGGTCGCTTCTGAGTGTGTCTGTGCACGGTGTCATCTGTAGAGAAATGCTGGCCAGCTGAGAAATGGCACCTGAGCTTCACGTTGAGGGCATGATTAAAATTACCAACCACATTTAAGTGCATGCCTTTAACTCACATCTGCACAGGTTTGTGAGGAAACGGATGCAGAGCACACACGTCTTCTCTCATACACAGAAGTGAGCTGGCTTTCGAAAGGTAGATCGCTGGCCAGAGTTTTCGAGTTATAAGAGCTGCTCCAGAGATTTCTTTTAGAAAAACAATCATGGCTGGCAGCACATTTTAGTGACACAGAATGGGTTGGGAAACTTGCTTCCTTCTGTGACGTGGTCAGCCTGCTCGGTGAGCTCCGTCTGCCGCTTCAGGGACGGCAGCTGTGCTCCAGTCGGAAGGTGAAGTGGCGAGCGAGCTGTGAGGGCTGTGAGTGAGCACTGCGGTTCTTGACATTAGCAGAGATTCTGAAAGAGGCTGAGCTGGGCTGTCTTTCTTGGTTCACATACTGTTGAAGCCTCTCTTAGAGAATTTTGAGCATTACTTTGATAGTGTGTGAGAGGAGTGCAATTGTACAGTAGTTCGAACATGTCCAGTCTACTCCGTAATCCCATTTTGGTTGCTGTCACTGGAAAACCCTGCTTCATAAAGATAGGATGTTGGAAATGGAAGTGGGCCTTAGGAAGCGTCACTGCAAACAAAGCTAGTGGAGGTGATGGAATTCTAGTTGAGCTATTTCAGTTCCTAAAAGATGATGCTGTGAAAGTGCTGCACTCAATATGCCAGCAAATTTGGAAAACTCAGTGGCTGCCACAGGACTGGAAAAGGTCAGTTTTCATTCCAATCCCAAAGAAAGGCAATGCCAAAGAATGTTTAAACTACTACTGTACAATTGCACTCCTCTCACATGCTAGTAAAGTAATGCTCAAAATTCTCCAAGCGAGGCTTCAACAGTACGTGAACTGAAAACTTCCAGATGTTCAAGCTGCATTTAGAAAAGTCAGAGGAACCAGAGATCAAATTGCCGACCTCTTTGGATCATAGAAAAAGCAAGAGGGTTAAAGAAAGACAGCCCCTTTTGCTTTATTGACTACACCAAAGCCTTTGACTTTGTGGATCACAGNAATTGATGCTTTTGAACTGTGGTGTTGGAGAAGACTCTTGAGAGTCCCTTGGACTGCAAGGAGATCCAACCAGTCCATCCTAAAGGAGATCAGTCCTGGGTGTTCATTGGAAGGACTGATGCTGAAGCTCAAGCTCAAGCTCCAGTACTTTGGCACTTGATGTGAAGAACTGACTCACTGGAAAAGACCCTGATGCTGGGAAACATTGAAGGCAGGAGGAGAAGGAGACGACAGAGGATGAGATGGTTGGATGGCATCCCTGACTCGATGGCCATGAGTTTGAGCAAGCTCTGGGAGTTGGTGATGGACAGGGAGGCCTGGCATGCTGCAGTCCATGGGGTTGCAAAGAGTCGGACACGACTGAGTGACTGAACTGAACTGAACTGATTATAACTGGTAGTAGAAAAGAAATACAATTTGCCATCTGGATGTTGTCATTATAAGAATATATGATGGCTGAAAGCAAAAGTTTCTGAGTTTATTCTTTAATTTTTTTCCCATTACTGTCTACTGAAAATCTCTGCTAAATTTCTATTTAATGAAATCTTAGGAACTTAGCATATTTTTGTAAAGGATAAGTGGCGCCTTTCTCAAGGGACTTTAATGATAAGATTACTATGCCTAATGTTAGAATGTAAAAACTAAAATACAGATTGAAATTTTGTTAATTTGTTATTTTTGTCATTCACATAGTATTTTCTAACCCTTTAGTAGTTTTACTGTTTTTTTAAATTTAGCCATAAGTCGTTCCAAGTGTTAAGAGCCTATTGAAAAATCTCCTTTTGTATAGCAACTGTTCTTGTTTTTTCTGTACACCCTCTTTTGTTGTTCAGTCACTCAGTCATGTCCGACTCTTTGTGACTCCATGGACTGCAGCATGCCAGGCTTTCCTGTCCTTCACCATCTCCTGGAGCTTACCCAGACTCACATCCTTTGAGTCAGTGATGCCATCCAACCTTCTCATCTTCTGCCGCTGCCTTCTCCTGCCTTCAATCTTTCCCAGCATCAGGGTCTTTTCCGATCAGTCAGCTCTTTGCATCAGGTGGCCAAAGTATTGGAGCTTCAGCTTTAGCATCAGTACTTTCAAGGAATATTCAGGACTGATCTCCTTTAGGATTGACTGGTTTGATCTCCTTGCAGTCCAAGGGACTCTCAAGAGTCTTCTCCAACACCACAGTTCAAAAGTATTAATTCTTTGGTGCTCAGCCTTCTTTATAGTCCAACTCTCACATCCGTATATGACTACTGGGAAAACCGTGGCTTTGACTAGATGGAGCTTTGTTGGCAAAGTAATGTCTCTGCGTTTTAATATACCGTCATGGTTTGTCATAGCATTTCTTCCAAGGAGCAAGCATCTTTTAATTTCATGGCTGACAAAGCATGGTCCACTGAAGACGGGAATGGCAATTCAGCATTCTTGCCTTGAGAACCCCATGAACAGTAATGAAAAGGCACCCTCTTTAGTTTATTTGCTCCCTGTGTCTTTTCCCATTCCATTTGCACAAAAATCCCAGCACTTGAAATGAATCATCCTTTGCAGTTCAAGGTGGTGATGGAGTGTGGGCCCCCACCCTGCACAGACACGAAGGATTCACTAGAAACCCTCAGGACATAGCAGTGCTGTCATCCCTGCCCACCGAGCTTGGAAGGTGCTTATACGTCTGCTACTTGAAACCAAGCTAGAGCAGCCCCTGGTTGAGGGGGGCGGGTCCCCTCAAACATCACACCGCAGTCTTGGGGATCCTGCCTGCCTGTCCTTTGCATTTCTGTTTTAGGGCTGGAATTCTGAGATGTGCTTTTGAAGACAGTGCTGTTCTTTAATAGTTGCTGTGGTTCATTATTTCACAGTGCAGTGATTTGTGTCTTAGGCTCTGGACCAGACGCTGTCAGTGAGCGATGCTGCGTCCATGGCAGGGCTGCTGGAGATCGTGGTGATTCTCTGGAGGAGCATTCACAGGAGCCTGGAGAATAACAAGGAGGCCCGAGTGTACACTGTCGACAAGTTTGCCTCAGTGCTGCCACAGTACATGCGCGTGTTCACGGTAAGACGGCCGCCCCGAGGAGCGGAGCAGCCCCGTGCGCAGGGCTGAGCCAGCTGCCCTGGGACCTGCGGCGCTCGCCCTGCGTGGCGGGGCCGGGCGGCCTCCAGCCTCTGCCCCGGTGTGTGTGCAGGCCGCTCTGGTCTTCTGTTGCTAATGGCCTGCGACCCGGTTTTAGAATCTAGTTTGATTTGCGGGGAACTGAGAGAGGAGTTGGTGGACATCCAGGATGCACAGCAGCCTGTTGTGGGGGCCTCTGACGGCACCCCGTAAGCACCTGTTTCTGAAGCCTCTGAGTTGTGTCTGTGTTACTGGGGCAGACGGACCATGTGTGTATCTTCTGCTTAAGTGAAGGAAACCTCCTCTGAACAAAGGCCGTATTTCGGAAGTAATGGAAATAAAACTACTCTATAAAAGTGCAGGTTTGTTTCCAATTACAGAGAAAGCATGACTTAAATATGGAGCGGTCATAGGTCTTAGGAATCATTCTTCTCTTGGTAAAGTTTACTTTTGGTTCTTCTACAACTGCTTGTGTGACCTTAGACCTTTTAGCTTTTGGAGCTGTATTTCTGTGACTGTTAGGTCTCCAAGCTCCATTCTGCCCCTGAAGTGCCAATGGGACCTGTCTGTGAAAGTGAAGGATGAAGGCTGCCCCATCGTTAGGACATTTAAAGGTTCAGACAGTCACACTGGGCTGAGAATGGAGGCGGTCGGATCCTGGATGAGATGATGGAAGATCAGTGTGCCCTGGGTATGTCTGGGAGAAGGCAGGTGGTTCATTAAGTGTTTTAGTCCCAAGTGATTCTGGCCAAAGAGTGTCTGTACCCCCAGCCCCTCCAAGATCCTTGTGGTCTTCCTGTCAGTGGGTAAACTGTCTGTGAGCCATGCATAGAATGGAATCGGGATCGCTAGTCTGTTGTGACATTAAGAAGACACTTTGTGTATTGGGAGTTGGGGGTGAGGGTGGGTTCCCTGTGCCTGAATGCAGATTAGTTACAGATGGGACTGTGAGTTTGCTCCTGTTTATTTTTCAGAAAAATTGTTGTTTCTCTTCCTTTTAGGATCCATCTTCTTTGGTTGTGTCGCCATCTAGGGGTATTTCTTACTAGTGATCTGGGTGGTGTCTGACCTGTCGGCCCTGTTACTGTGACAGGGACGGCTGTGGTGAGGTGGCTGCCGTGTGCAAAGTGCCGCCGGGGGGCCTGCGTGGTTTCCTCATGGGGTCCCTGCCAACCCCACCCAGCGAACAGCCCTTCTCCCTGCTGGCCCCTGCTGGGTGGGCCCTGCTGGGACTTGGCCCTGGCCGTTGCACTGCCCTGCCTTCCGAAGGTATTCTTATTAAGAACTTTTCTGACTAGCTTCATTTTCTTGAGTTTTATACTTAGGACACACCGAGCGCATAGGGTTGTTGTTTTTTTCCTTTTGTCAGTATTCTTTCTAGAATACAAGTCAGTGCCTTGACAGCAAGGGGTGTTGTCTGTTCTGGCCACCACTGTGTCCCCAGGGTCTCCTGGTACACGGTGGGTGTTTAGTAAGTATTTGCCCAAATGACACGTCACAGAAAGTAATGAAGCCTCCTGTGAAAGTCTGAGAAGACCCAGCACATCTGGAGCCTCGCGGGGTTAGGTCCTGTTGTATGCCGTTCCTACCCAGCAGCTCTGAAGCGGGTCCCTGAGGGCAGGGGGCCCTCGGGCCGCAGTGCTCACGTTCCCGTCTCTGTCTCTTCCTGCCCCCAGGACGACCGCTGCAGGACCCCTCTGTGCGTGCTGGCGTCCCTGATGCCTGCCCCGGCCGTGCCCGTCTTCAGGTGCTTCCCCCCCCGCCCTCTGGTCTCCCCAGCACTCCCCGCTGCCGCCCCCAGGAGGGAGGGCAGGGCAGGCTTCCAGGGCCCGGGGCGCTGAGCGCCAGGACTCATCCAAGTGCAGGTGAGGACGCGAGGTCTGAGCTGAGCCGCCGTGGAGCTGCGGCCACACGGGGCTCTGAGCGCCTGGGACGCAGCATTGAGCTGGGATGAGCTGTGAGCGCAGGGTGCACACTGACTCTGGGTCTGGTGTGGAAAGAGAGCTGTGATGTGTTCGCTCCGTGGTTTTCTACATTGCATCTCAGACAGTGTGTGGGTGGGCTGGGCTGATGTGTTATTGAAGTCAGTCCTCCTTTTAGATACGGCTGTTAGAGCTTTTAAGATGACATGCTGGCCTGTTGTTGCGGCTCAATGGCTGTTTTGGGCAGTGTTGCTTTAGAGTGTTTGTTAGTAACTCAGTAAAAATTACTCATTTTCAATTCATATGTATTCAAAAATGAATGTTTTGATGCTAAACAAATTATTTCCCCCAAATGAGGAATCTTTACAGTCTGGCAGAAGCAGTGCATGAACAAAAGACTAGGGTCTGTGTGTGTAGCGGGGGCCTGGCACCTCGCGTCATGGTGCATGGGCTTGAGTCCCCGACGCTGCTGGGGTCGCCGTTTTGTCCTGTAACTTTTACCCCAAGAGTGATGGTGGGAAACAGCGGGTTTTTCCTGCAGTGGAGGGTGTCTGCCTGCTCCCGTGATGGGAAGGGTTTGTGTCCCTCAGCTTTTAGCTTCTCCCTTTTCCCCACCTTTTAGGAAAGTGAACAGTTGTTACTGAGATACAGGTGTGATTTTGTCTATGTGGCCCTTTCAGCTGTGGTGTGATTTCCACACTGAGGAACCAAGAGGAGGGAACCGCTGACAGGACCTACTGCATCCTGCTGGACTGCCTCTGCTCCTGGGGCCACGTGGGGCACATCCTGGAGCTCGTCTGTGACTGGCTGCCCGAGGAGCCGCCTCAGAGCAAGGTATGGGTCTTCATGCTGCGCTCCGCCAGGGGCGACTTGCCGGGGCTCATGGCTCTCCTCCCGCTTGTCTCTCCCTGCCCCTCAGGGTAACTTGGCCTCCAAGCGGAAAGTGCGGGTCCAGGACCCCTGTCCGGTCAAACCTGGGCTGGCACTGGTCTATGTGGAGTATTTGCTAACCCACCCCAAGAACCGCGAGTGCCTCCTCTCTGCGCCCCAGAAGAAGCTGAACTGTCTTTTGAAAGCACTTGAAGTATCCAAGGTAATTTTGTAGAACAAACACGGCACCGTGGAAGTTGACTGATGAACTCAGATGCAAGTTTTCCATGGTTATACTGTCATTTTTCACCTGGGGGCGGGAGGGAACCGGGTGCCCATTTCTGGGCCCTGCTTTTTCTACCAAGTGTGTTCAGAGCCCAGTGTCCCGTCTGCCTCCGCATATGAGCCTTTCTGCCAGAACGGGCCATGGGCAGGAGGCTGCCTGCCACCCTGGTTCTCCTGCTCACGGCCGTGGGGGCTCCAGCCCCCCGAGTTTGGGGCAGGGTGTCCCAGGCTCTTTGGTGCAGTCCTGTGGGTTCTTTCCCCATCTCGGCTCTCTCCTGCAGCCAGCCCCAGCTGCTGCTGCCCAGTTCTGTCGTGCCAGAGGCCCCCACGTGCCAACAGCGGGCGGGGCGGGCAGGGGTGTGGGAGGCACGAGACGGCGGAGCTCTTTCTGGGGGTCCAGGGCTCCAGGGGCAGCGCCCTTGAAGAGCTGTCTCCTTGCTGCTTTGTGGGAGGCCTGGCAGAGGGAGGAGGCGCGGACTTCTCAGGATGCCCCACGGCGTTGTACCTGCCCAGCGCTCCTTGCCACGGTGTCCTCACCTCCCGTGCGGGCTGCTCGGTTGGAGCCCGGCCTGAGGAGTCCTGTTCCGCAGGGGGATCTGGAGTCCATTCTGCAGTCGTCAGATGGCAGCCCTCCGCGCCTGAGTGAGGGTACCGCCCTGCGGGCCTTCAGCCTCTACTGTCGGCTGAGCATCCATCTTCAGCACAAGGTGTGTCTGCGGCTTGGGGTGGGACGTGGGATGAGCGGGCCCAGGGCTCCACGGCTGACCTGTCTTCTCTTGTTTTTGGGCAGTTCTGCTCAGAAGGCAAACTTTACCTGTCCACTTTGGAAGACACCGGGTCTTGGTTAGAAAGCAAAGTTTTATCTTTCATTCACGATCAAGACGAAGAATACCTGAAGCTTCACAGGGTGGTTTATCAGCAGATTATCCAGGTTAGGCGTCTGGGACGTGGAGACCCTGCTCCACTTTGTGAGGGCCTTCCGTATCTCATTTCCGATCTGAACTGTGACTTCAATCAGTAATGCTGCTTTCTTGAGCACCTACGCTAGCATCTGAGTGTCCAGAGTTTATCTTTTGCGAAGCACAAACTGTGTAATTTTGATGTAATTTTACACTGTACAGGTAACAGGTATTCAGTGCTGTTTTTGGAGTTACAGAAAATGTGTTTCTAGACTTCCTATGGAAAGAAAAATGAGAATTGATGTATCTTTATGGAAACCCCTCTGTGAACACCTCTGTGATTCACCTGGCAGCCCCTTAGGTATTAGGAGCTGTGCCAGCTGCGTGTGGCCCCTCTGACCTCTGTGAGGAGGTCACAGTAGCGCGTCTTTCTCTTCCAGACCTACCTGACTGTGTGTAAGGATGTCATCATGGTTGGCCTTGGCGACTGCAAGTTTCAGACGCAGCTTCTACAGTGGAGCCTTGGACTCATGCAAACAGGTACCTGGTTTGTCAAAGGACTAGTTAAGAGCTACTCACAATAAGAAGCAGTCCCTCCCTTCGCTGGACTCTCGCTTTTAAGTGACAGACGTGTAACACCAACTAGTTTACGTCAGAAGAGGATTTAGCAGGCCGAGGCAACCAGAAAGTTCACGGTGCTTTTGGTACTGGACGTGACGAGTGCAGCATTTCTGGCGGGGTCTTAGGCTTCTCCTCTGGGGACTCTGTGGTTGTGAATGACTGCGCTGTGTGGTCACCCGTCAGGCATCCGTGGGCAGCGCTCACAGAAGAGTGCTCGCCGTCTGCCTGTGAGTCAGGAGTTGTTCAGTGGCCCCTCGCCCTGGGACCCCTGGGAGGTTGCCGTCACCCTGGGGATGGGCTGACAGTGTGGCCCTGGTGACTGACACCGTGGTGTCCACACCTGCCTTGGAGGAGGTGCCAGGTGGTGTGTGCTGAGAGAGTGCGTGGGGAGTTGGCTGCCCTCAGGCTGTTTGGGCGGAGGGTTATCTGGAGCCCCCCGGGATCCGAGCGGGTTCTTGCAGCCCCTCGTCCGGTGGCGGGAGGAGTGTGGGGCCCAGGCCGTCCCCTCGGCCTAGGGCCAGGCTCTGGCTGGGAGCTGCGCTGCTGTGAGCCCCGCCCTGCCGCCTCGCCAGCTGCTGCCACGTGGCCCTTACTTTTCAGCTGGGGCTGCTCATGCTCCTTCTGAGAGCCAGAGAGGCTTGGGAAGGAGGGGTTCAAACGGCTCTAACTCAGATATTTGCTAGAAGAGACTGAAAATGGTATTACCATTTAGCAAATCCAACAGTAAGTTTGCATTAGTCTTCTGGGGCCTTGTGTGGTCTTGAGCATCGCCGTGCAGACCTCAGAGATGGCTTGGCCTCAGACCCCACAGCTTCTTCCTCCCTATGCTGCTGTCCCTGCGGTTGGGGGCTGGCCTGCAGTGGAGCTGGGTGGCAGTAGCTTTGCTCTGCTCTCTTGATTATACATTTCTTTATCTGTAACTAAAGGGGCGTCAGCAGAATTAATACATTATTTGTTTAAAATACCCACAGAGGCTAAATATTAAATAGAAGAAACTTTTTTGTTTTAAGATCTAACTTTTTGCTTTGTTCAGTTCATTATAAGTCTCACTTTCATCTTAAATTTAGGGTCTTCCCTGGTGGTCCAGTGGCTGACTCCATGCTGCCAATGTAGGAAGCCCAGGTTCAGTCCCTGGCCAGGGAACTGGATACCACATGCCACAGCAAAGACCCAGCACAGCCAAAAAACAAACAAATATTTTAAAATAAGTAAACCTAAGCCTAATTGTTGAAACATTAAAAATGATTTGCATTTGGGTAACTCAGTTTATCATCTAGTAATTATTTTCCCCTAAGGATTGAATCTGGGCTTCCCAGGTGGCACTAGTGGTAAGGAACCCTCCTGCCAGTACAGGAGATGTAAGAGATACGGGTTCGATCCCTGGGTCGGGAAGATCCCCTGGAGGAGGGCATGACAACCCACTTCAGTATTCTTGCCTAAAGAATCCCATGAACAGTTTATTATCTGGGGTGAAACAGATCACCAGCCCTGGTGGGATGCATGAGACAAGTGCTCGGGCCTGGTGCACTGGGAAGACCCAGAGGGATCGGGTGGAGAGGGAGGTGGGAGGGGGGACCGGGATGGGGAATACATGTAAATCCATGGCTAATTCATTTCAATGTATGACAAAAACCACTGCAATGTTGTAAAGTAATTAGCCTCCAACTAATAAAAATAAATGGAAAAAAAAGAATCCCATGAACAGAGAAGCCTGCAGGCTATAGTCCAGGGGGTCACAAAGAGTCAGACACAACTGACGTGACTTAGCAGCACACAAGGATTGAATCTATTTTTAACACTTCTGAAATTCTAATTAGCTCCTTGGAAATTTTTATATCTCCAATGTAGGTGGGTTTATTACATAGAGTTGTCTGTTCCCCTCGAGTATAAGGCCCTAAGCTGCTAACCTTACCTTTGGACCAAGCTAAAATGACTTTTGTATTTAGATATTTTAATAATCAGCATTTTCCAGGAGAGAATGTGCTGTGAGCTCATTTTTTTAGAGTTTTGTTACAAATAGAAATAGGTCTTTGGTCATGAAGCTCTTGGGCCTTGCCTGTCATACGCGTCATCAGTGTCACCGTCATGTGAGAATGCACACACGTCCTGCACCTGGTGCTGCGGGAAAGCACCCGGTGCTGCGGGAACCGCACTGTCCCTGGGAGCCGAGTGTGCACGCCCTATTTTTGAGGACAGTGGCTTTGTGTCTAATAAAAGGAGCAAGTTGTGTGGATGTCAGATTTTATATTAATCTGATCAACTTGGTACTGGCTCACCAGTAACTCTCCTTTAAGTTACCGTAATATGTGTCTTAAGTGAAAAATGTGATAATTTCAACCAAATTTCGTGATTAAACAACAGATTTTCCCAACTTTGTTTCCAGTGAAGGGACTCTTTTATGTTTCATTGCTTCTCGGCATTCTGAAAGAGATAACTGGAAGTTCCTTGACACGGAAAACAGACTCGGAGGAAGAGGTCGCCGTGGTATTTGACATGGTCCAGAAAGTATTTCAGCGAATGCTGGAGTGCATGGCGTGGAGCTTCAAGAAGCAGCCTGAGGAGGGCTTGCAGGTGTGGGCGCCTCCCCCGGCAGGGTCAGAACAGGAGGGGCAGCACCCAGCTGGTGGCCCAGGGTATGGGGCCAGGCCGTTGGCCTTGCTGGGGAGGTGCCGCGCAGCAGGAGGCGGCTGCCACGGGCCCCTTCCCACTGGTGCTGCCCTTCTCCCTGGGGAGGCGTACTCCGGGGAGGGAGGCCAGGGGGCCAGGAGCCCGCCTCTGAGCCCTGGTTTGGGGAACGTGTTGGCGGTTCGGGTCAGCAGGCCACTGGCCCAAGAGCTCCTCTGCTCGGCAGGACAGAAGCAGAGAACTAATTGCAGTAGCTTGTGAGTACTCAGCTGCTAGGAGTGAAGATTTTAAAAATTTGCTTCATTGGGAGGATGTTTATGAATTATTGCAACTTTCCCTTTTATTCTACCTTTAGCTTGTAGAGGTAATTGACGGTCATTGGCCATATTTTCTGTAGCCTAGCTCATATTTGAGTTAATTTGAAAAAGTCCTGTTTTTGATGAGTCGGTTCAGGTGTCTGTGATCTATTCATGTAATTTGTGCCAGAATTTTTTTTCCTCACTATTGTCTGTGCAGCTTTGTTCGGAACACGTGGCCTCATAGTGGGTGTCTTCCCGTAATGTCAGTGATAGTTCTTCATCTTTATTAGTAATGTTATTGATGCTCCTGTTCTCAGGGTTTTTCTCTGCTCTGGGGTAGAGTGTGTTCAAAGTACTGCCCAGGGCCTTCGGGCTGTGTGTCGTCTTCAGCAGCAGAGAGGAGAGCGTGGGCAGCAGGGGCGTTAGGTGGGACGGGCCTTGGCCTGGGGAAACAGGAGGAGGCCTTGTTCCTGACGGTGAGTGTTAAGGACTAACGGTGACTGATGTGTTCCTCGTAGCTCCTTTACTCCGTTCAGACTCCTCTGCACGAATTCATCGGCACGGTGCAATGCTGGCACGTGGACACGCCTGTTCACCGCGGCGTGTTCTCCACCCTGATCGCTGCGTCTGTGGTTGAGATAAGCCACCAGCTCCGGAAGGTGCATTGTCCCGAAACTGCTGTGTCTCATTTTGACTACTGAAGAGGGTGTTTTCTGCTGGCAGCACATTTTTGCCTTTTTCTAGGTATTTTTCAGGGCTCAGGTACCATGGGAGATCCGCTTCTCCCATAGCTGCCCCTCATGGTTCCGTGGCTTCAGTCACGTGACCATGGGGGTGCAGAACATGCGAAGGACATTGTCAGTCTTTATTAAAACCACGCTGGTCCTTCCTTGTTTTTGCCGTGTGTTAGAGATTTCCATGAGTTGATCCGTTTCTTAGGATGCCCTCTCCTGACAGGCGGAAGCGGCCGTGCTCAGCAGCGAGCAGGACGTGTGAGTGCCCTTGGGCTGTTTCTGGAGTAGCTCACGTCTCTGACTGCTGTGTGACACATAAGCCTGACTTTTTCTTTTAAGCACAGGAAGTTTGAACCTGTAGTATCAGTTTAGACAGATAGTTTGCTCCTAGTCCATAAAGGACTGGCTGTTTCCTGGCAGGAGCTTGTTTCATATGGGTGGTCTGCTTGGCTCAAGGCTGACATAATCAGGATGATAACTCAGGTCACAATGAGGAGCATGGAGTCCTGAAGCTAGTGTGTGAGGGTGTGCAACAGTGCCTCAAGGCAGTGAGCAGTGGTGTTTTCTCTCAGTTTGGAAAGGTGACATCTGACAGGAAATATCACTAAAATATATAAGTGCAAACATAAAATTTGTGCAAATTTTGTATTATGAAATCACAAATATAAAAGAAGTTGATAAAATTATAAGACATTAATAGAATTTCAGGCCCTCCTGAAAGCTTGAAGGGAGATCATTTAGGTTTAGGAGTGTGATTCCTGGCCTATACACAGCCTAAGAGCTGGAAGTTACTCAGGCCTATGAGTTACATAGCTGACAGCTGTGAGTCCATCAGTGGCTTGTGGGCCACTGTGGCCCATTTATTTTCATTTTTTTCCTGTGGCTGCTTTGTGCCTTAACAGCAGAATTGAGTAGTTGTGGCTGAGATCATTATGCCCACAAAGTTGAAAATGTTTACTATTTAATATTTACTATTTTACTGCTTTATAGGAAAAGTTTGAGTTGAGAAAACCTGATTTGGGCTAATAAGAATAACAGTTAAATTTGTTTAGTGTAGAAATACATTGTTGACAAAAGAAGATAATCAAAGGGTGTTTGACAGAGGGCTTGTCAAGTGACATGTGTCATTTTTCTTCTGTCCAATTGATTGACCCCACTGTGTACAGTAATAGGTGAATCATAATAATGATAGGCCTTGCAAAAGTTAACAGAAATCATTATTTTGAGTTTCTGGAAGGCCTTTCACAAGTTTGGAAGAAAGTTCAGAGAAGTATAAAATGAGCTATTAGCCCAGTCTCAGTCTTAATTCGTGTTACTAACTTGGCTTTTTTTAGGTTTCTGATATGGAAGAGCTTACCCCGCCAGAGGGTCTTTCAGCCCTTCCACCATTTTCAAGGTGTCTAATAGGAATAATAATAAAATCTCCGAATGTGGTCAGGTAATCCTTTTCTCTTTGCTGTCTTCTTACTCCTATGGCTGTAAGCTCTCAGTAGCTTTAGCTCTGTTCCTTTTACTCTCAGATATTAGCATTATACAAAGAGAAGTTGTAACTTCCTGAGAGATGCGTTCATCCAGATAGTCTCTGGTTATGCTTATTATAACTCCAGTTCATTTAGAGGGAAACATTTAAAGTGTTACTGTGCACTGCAGTGCTTCTGACAGTGGATACTTGTTTAAGCATTGTATGGTTTTCATTAGGCACACGCTCATTTCTCCACGCATGTATCACCTGACCTGATTCCAGGGTGTCTTGTACATGCAGCACTGATGCGCCACAGGAGGGAGAGTCCTCCAGACATCTGATACCTGTGGAACTTCAGTAGTAGATATGTTTGCTGCAGACTTCAAAAGCATCATTTCAACAGCTGTGAATTATCTTTCAATAGCACATTAAATCTTTTTTGTGATATGAGTAGGCAGAGGCCTTCATTCACTTACCAGAACATCTCTGTTCTCTTTCTAGCAGCATCATCTGATTTTATTGTCTCACCTGTATGATTTGGCATGCTTACAGTGAAGAGTGTGGGAAGAGTTTAATCGATTTCCCATGTTACTGAAACATGGTATTTCCCATTCCCTGAAAACTGGAATTCATGGTGGTTGATGAATCTTGGCTATTATTTGTTTTTCTATAAAGTATTAAGATATATTATTGAGTAACTGCAGTTGTTTTTTACTTTTTTGCAGGTCATTTTTAGATGAATTGAAGGCATGTGTCATTTCTGAGGATATTGAAGGCATCGTTTGTCTCACAGCAGTTGTGCACCTTATCTTGGTTATTAATAAAGGTTGGTTAAGTTTCCTCTTGTATTGTTTGGGATACTGCTCAGTGTCTCTTACATAGATCCGTTTTGGAATGTTTGGGAACAAGTACCCTGCCGGTCAGGCTCTCAAGGTGCTTTCTCCCAGCTTTCCACATTCCACACGTGCTGTCTGCCTGGGCGTCTGCTGTGTAGCTGCCCTGTACCAGCATGAGTCACAGAGGTTTCCTAACTCAGCTCCTGTCCACTCTTCCCAGGACCCATTATGTCTCCCCTGTACCGAATTTCTATTGATTTGTCATTTATTGCCTTTGTCATGTATGTTTAAAAATCAGAATCATTTTGCCAATGATAGTGTGTTTTGGCATTAATATTTAACGTATCTGTGGTTTGCTTAGTTTTAACTGTGTGTATTCTGAGTATCCCAGCCAGCTGAAATAGTATTGGAAAAATAATCAGAGACACTTCTGAGATACTTACCAAAGTGTAAAATACAGTAATAACCTTGCAGTGTCTACTGTTCTGTTTCTACATTTTTTAACGAGTGTTACCAGACCACCTGACCTGCAAACCTGTATGCAGGTCAGGAAGCAACAGTAAGAACTGGACATGGAACAACAGACTGGTTCCAAATAGGAAAAGGAGTACGTCAAGGCTGTATATTGTCACCCTGCTTCTTTAACTTATATGCAGAGTACATCATGAGAAACGCTGGGCTGGAAGAAGCACAAGCTGGAATCAAGATTGCCGGGAGAAATATCAATAACCTCAGATATGCAGATGACACCACCCTTATGGCAGAAAGTGAAGAAGAACTAAAGAGCCTCTTGATGAAAGTGAAAGAGGAGAGTGAAAAAGTTGGCTTAAAGCTCAACATTCAGAAAACTAAGATCATGGCATCTGGTCCCATCACTTCATGGGAAATAGATGGGGAAACAGTGGAAACAGTGTCAGACTTTATTTTTTTGGGCTCCAAAATCACTGCAGATGGTGATTGCAGCCATGAAATTAAAAGACGCTTACTCCTTGGAAGGAAAGTTATGACCAACCTAGACAGCATATTAAAAAGCAGAGACATTACTTTGCCAACAAAGGTCCGTCTAGTCAAGGCTATGGTTTTTCCAGTGGTCATGTATGGATGTGAGAGTTGGACTGTGAAGAAAGCTGAGCGCCGAAGAATTGATGCTTTTGAACTGTGGTGTTGGAGAAGACTCTTGAGAGTCCCTTGGACTGCAAGGAGATCCAACCAGTCCATCCTAAAGGAGATCAGTCCTGGGTGTTCATTGGAAGGACTGATGCTGAAGCTGAAACTCCAATACTTTGGCCACCTCATGCGAAGAGTTGACTCATTGGAAAAGACCCTGATGCTGGGAGGGATTGGGGGCAGGAGGAGAAGGGGACGACAGAGGATGAGATGGCTGGATGGAATCACTGACTCGATGGGCATGAGTTTGGGTAGACTCTGGGAGTTGGTGATGGACAGGGAGGCCTGGCGTGCTGTGGTTCATGGGGTTGCAAAGAGTCGGACACGACTGAGCAACTGAACTAACGTTGAAATTATTTTCTAAGGTATTATGCATAGGGGGCTCCTCGCAAAACAAGTTATCCCCATAAGCATGAATGCATAGTATGGCTGCAGATTTGTGGCAGGAATTTGTAGCTAGTGTGACCCCAGCCAGGCATCTGGAAAGACTTGCCTGAGGACATGTCTCCTGGGGGCCAATCAGCAAGGTGAGGGATGTTCTCCACGTGGAGGGTGTGAGGATGGTGGTTGGCGAGTGAATGAGCACCTAGTACTTAATAGGTACTTAAACATTTGCCAAGCAGATGATAACCCTGCAATGTGTTAGTTTCATTGCTGTTGAAGGTGCTGATGATCAGGTTTGATGGCATGGGCAACAATATGGGATCATGCCTTTGGGAAATACCTCAGATGTGAGGAAGTGTTTTTGTAATCCCTCACTGGATCTTCTAACATCCCTTTAAAGGAATTATTTCTGTTCCATTGGTCAGTGATGCACTAACTTAGGCGAGGATAGGAGGCTTTGTCTTAACTAAAATTGTACCTGCATTGAAAAAGTACGTGTGCTTTTTGATTGGTTGTGTTCAATGTTTTTCTGTGTTTAACAGGTAAACATAAGAGTTCAAAAGTGAAGGATGTTGCAGCTACTATTGATAGAAAACTAAAGGCATTCATGGAAATTACTTTGGAGGAGGATAGCTTGGAAAGGTAAAGCACTGGATATACACCAACTGTGATTATATGAACTCTTACTAGGTATCCCTGAACATGTATTAGATCTCGCTTTCGTTTCTGCTAGTTGCAGCCAGGTAGAGAACTGGGATTGAAGGGACAGAAATGTTTCTGTTGGCAAGACCCCTTGAACATGTTTTAATTGCTTCCCCATTCTGTCTTTAAAAACAAAAACAAAACTGTTATTTGTGAGATTCTGCCCTAGAAAAGTAAGGGCATACAAACTCACTTTATATGGTTTTAAACCTAAGCAGATTATATTTGGTGGTTTGTTATATTTAAGAAACCATGGATATTCATAGTCTATAATTATCTGTTTACAAGTATACATGTTGGGAATGGGAAAGACCCCTCCAGAGACTGAAGAAATGTGCATTGTTTTCTGCTGTCTGGGTGGCCCATTGCTGCCACATGGACCACTGTCTAAGAACGTGTTCATTGCTCTGTTTCCCAGGTGTTTCTGTTGCTATTCACTGTTTTTGACATGCTATGCAGGTTCCTGTAGACTCTTTTCTGAATTGTGTCTGACTTTCAGACCAGCCACAGAAGCAGTGCTTTCCTTCTGTATTCCGAACACCATATGGTTAGGTGTTACAGGGCTTTGAACCAGGTAATTAGTTTTATATAAGCCTGGGAAATAAACCACTTTCCAGATCTACTTTCTCCTTAGAAGAAAGGCTTTCAAAATCCAAAACTGCTAACTCCTAACAAAGATAGTCTTTTCTTCTTCTTGCCAATCTGTAGATCTTTCTTTACTTTTCTTACCTTACAGCATTAGCTCAGGCTTCCGGTACATTATCGAAAGGGAGTGGTGAAAGGACCTACTTGTCTTATCCAAGGTCTTAGTGGGAAAGCTTCCTGTTTCTCACCATTAAGCACAATGTTAGCTGTAGACATTCTTTATCAAGTTGAGGATGTTCCTGTCTGTTCCCGATTTACAAATAGTTCTTATCATAGTGGGTGTTGGATCTTGTCAAAAACCTTTTCTGCATCTACTTACAGGATCATATCATTTTTCTTCTTGAGCCTGTTGATGTGACAGGTTACAGTAGTTGATTTCCAGATACTAAACCAGCTTTGCATACCTGGGATAAATCCCAGTTGGTTATGGTACATAATTTTTTTAATATACTGTTGAGTTTATGTTTTATTGAATGTTTTTGCATCTGTGGGGTTTCCCTGATAGCTCGGTAGGTAAAGAATCTACCTGCAATGCAGGAGACCCCAGTTCGATTCCTGGGTCGGGAAGGTCCCCTGGAGAAGGGGTAGGCTACCCACTCCAGTATTCTTGGGCTTCCCTTGTGGCTCACCTGGTAAAGAATCCACCCGCAATGCCTGAGACCTGGGTTTGATCCCTGAGTTGGGAAGATCCCCTGGAGAAGGAAAAGGCTACCCATTCCAGTATTCTGGCCTGGAGAATTCCATGGACTGTATAGTTAATGGGATTGCAAAGAGTCGGAAACGACTGAGCAACTTTCACTTTTTGCATCTATACTCATGAGAGAGATCATTTTGTAGTTATCTTTCCTTATCTTTGTCTGGCTTTGCTACTAGGGAAATGCTAGCCTCATAGAATGAGTTAGAAAGTATTCCTTCCCTTCTTTCTTCTGAAAGAGACTGTAAATAATTGGTAAAATTCTTCCTCAAACATTTGGTAGAATTAATTCATCAGTGAATCCATCTGGGTCTGATGCTTTGGAAGGTTATTAATTATTTATTCAATTTTTTAAGACCCTGGTCTGATTCCTGGGTCAGGAAGGTCCACTGGAGAAGGGATTGGCTACCCACTCCAGTATTCTTGGGTTTCCCTGATGACTCAGCTGGTAAAGAATCTGCCTGCAGTGTGGCAGCCCTAGGTTCAGTCCCTGGGCTGGAGAGATCCCTGGAGAAGGGAATGTCTACCCGCTCGAGTATTCTGGCCTAGAGAATTCCATGGACTGTACAGTCCATGGTGTCGCAAAGAGTCAGACACGACTGAGTGACTTTCACTTTCACTTTCTGTTCAGATTGTCTGTTTCTTCTTGAAATGGTTTTGGCAGACTGTGCCTTTCAGGAATTTGGTCCATCTCATCTAGGTTGTCAACTTTGTGGGCATAGTATTCCTTAATTGTCTTTTATAATGTCCATGGGATCTGTAGTGATGTCCCCTCTTTCATTTCTGATATTAGTAATTTGTATCCTCTTTTTTTTTTTTCCCCAACCTGACTAGAGGCTTGTTGGGCTTTCCAGGTGGCTCAGTGGTAAAGAATCTTTCTGCCAAGCAGGAGACCTGGGTTCCATTCTGGGTGGGGATAGTCCCCTGGGGAAGGGAATGGCCACCCACTCCAGTATTCTTGCCTGGGAAATCCCATGGACAGAGGAGCCTGGTGGGCTTCAGACCATTGGGTCACAAAAGAGTCAGACACAGCTTAGCCACTAAACAATAACAAAGAGGGTTATTGATTGTATTGAGCTTCAAAAGAACCAGATTTTAGTTTCTTTGATGTCCTCTATTGATTTCTTTTTTTAAATTTTTTTGCTTTCTGTCCTAATTTTTATTATTTCTTTTCTTTTGTCTGCTTTGGATTTAATTTGATCTTTTTTTTCTGGCTTCCTAAGGTAGAAGCCTAATTACTGATTTTGGATGTTCTTTCTTTTCTAATATATTCAGTCAGTGCTATAAATTATTACGCATTAAGCATTACTTTTGCTGCATGGCACAACTTTTTTTTTTCCCCCACAAATTTCTATGTTACATTTTCACTTAGTTAAAAATATTTTGAAATTTCTCTTGAAATTTCTTCTTTGCCCCATGTGTTCTTTAGAAGTGTATTATTTAATCTTTCAATTTTCCAGTTATTTTTCTGTTATTGATCTCTAGTTTAATTCCATGTTATCTGAGAGAAGACACTGTATGGATTTCTATTCTTTTAACTTTATTAAGGTGTGTTTCATGACCTAATATGTGATCTATCTTGGTGAATGTTCCATATGAACTTGAGAAGAATGCGTGTTTTACTGTTGTTGGGTGAAGGCATGTCTAAATGGCAGTTATATCCTGTTGGTTGATGGTGGTGAGTTCATCTCTGTCTTTACTGATATTCTGCTTGCTGGATCTGTCTGTCTGTTTTTGATAGAGGGGTTTTGCTTTATATATTTTGTTATCCTGATATTAGGAGCATATGAACTACTATATCTTCTTGATGAATTGACCCTTTTACTTCTAAGAGAGGTCCATCTGTTTCTCTAGCAATGCTTTTCTCCATAGAATCCATTTTGTTAGGTATTAAGATGGCTCCCCAGCCTCCTTTGGTGAGCATATTCAGTGTTAGTGGTGTTTTAGTCTGGAGGCAGAAACCCCAGTGACAGGACAGCCTGAGCACCAGGTCGAGTTCCTGTCAGGTGTTGGTATATGGGTGGGGGCTGGTGAGGGTTGTAGTGAACTCTGAGGTGTGAGTGCCGTGCTCCCACTGGGGAGGACTCACAGCCTGAGGCTGACCCTCACCCCCGGGAGGGAGTGGTCCTGAGGCCTCCTGGGGGGCTGCTGCCCACCTAGTCCCTGGGAGCTCAGGGGCCTCCTGCACACGGCGGTGCTGCGAGCTGCCAAGCCAAGCGAGCCTTGCTGCGTCTGTGCGCCCCAGCGGGTCAGCAGCTGCTGTGGAGGGCCGGGGCCTGCAGCGCTGCCTCTGCTGTCCTGTCCGGCCTCCCGGCGAAGGCGGGGCCTTGTGGGCAGCCCTCCAGTGGCCCTGCTGACCCGCCTGGCACCATGCCTCTGTGATGGCAGCCGGGCACTGGGGGAGGGGGGGGCTTCAGCATCCTTGGTCATGAGCCAAGCACACATGTTCAGCTACGTGCTTTATGCTGGAGACTGTTGACTGTTTCCTGTGAAGTTTAAGAAGGATCTTGGAGGGAGAAACCAGCAGACTCTAGGTTTTATTAACCTGTTTTATTTCTGCATCTGTGGAGAAGAGGAACGTGAGCTTCTGATCTGGAGGAAACTGAGGAGTGTGTGTGTTTCTGAAAACACCGTCGCCATTTAGTTGCTAACTTGTGTCCGATTCCTTTGCGACCCCATGGACTGTGGCCCAGCAGGTGCCTCTGTCCATGGGATTTCCCGGGTAAGAATACTGGAGTGGGTTGCCGTTTCGTTCTCCAGGGGGTCTTGCTGACCCAGGGTTCACACCCATCTCTCTTGCATTGGCAGGCAGATTCTTTGCCATTGAGCCGCCTGGGGAGCCAGGAGAGGGAGGCAAAAAGCCTACAGCACCCAGTATTCCCAGCTGATCCCCCATCCAAGTGCTAAGCAGGCCCGAGCCTGCTTAGCTTCCGAGATCAGACAAGATCAGGCGCATTCAGGGTGGTATGGCTGTTGACAACTGGGCAGTGTGAATATCCAACGAGGTTGTCAGAATTACAAACCAGATAATGATAAGTAATTGTCGCGGCACATAGTCATAACCTCAGAAATGCGAGCACCTAACAGGGTTTCTTTGTTAGACATGCCGTCTGTGATGGGCGTTTTTGGAGTAGTGTGGCATGAACTGCTCTGGGGGACTTTTGCACTTGCACAGGGCCCAAGGTGAGCTCTTGGGTTGTGTTACTGGTTATTACTGACAGAAGAAAGGCCCTGGAAGTTCAGAACTTGCTCTATGGAAAGGAAAGAATATTCATAGAATTTAAAAACAGCCATGTAATATTTGGAGGGCTAATGGCTGTGTCCTTGACAAGAATCATGAGTGTTAAGTCACGAATCGGTTGAACTCAGTGACTAAACAACACAGTGTAATGTTTTGTTTATTCATTGTTTCTAGAACTACATGCAGTTTCCTCTGCTGAGCTGATACACAGATGGAAAGAAAGAATTCTTCCCTTTAAGGAGGAAACATCCTAAAAAGGCAAATAGGTAGAGACTGAAATACTGGCTTCCTTCTTAAATGTTCAAGAAGCAGACTGTAGGAAAACCAGTGTTTGAGGGAAAAGAAGAACTTAAAAACCAAAACATAAAGATCAATCTAATGGAAGATATGCAATGAAGATTTAAGACTATATTTTAAAATATTATTTATTTTTGTCAGCATAGAGACATTACCTTCAAGGCTCTAGGAGCCCTTTGGTCTAGTTAGAATGTAAGGCAGTGGGTGTTGATTGGGAATGAGTGTTTCCTGAGCAGACACCCCGGCCATCTCTGCAGGAGGGTCAGTGTTTTGTCGGGCGCTGTCTCCTTGCACTTTCCGAGTCTCCGCTGCCGGGAGAGCCAGGCGGGAGGGACGCCCCAGGCGCCCGCGTGTCCTGGGAGCAGACGCCTGTGCGTTGCTGTGCTGGCAGTTTCCGCGGGCTCCGAGCTGCCCACCCCCTGCTGCCTCCACCCCCGTGGCGTCCGCGGGCGCAGACGGCCGTGGCGGCGCGTGTGCGGGGGCGGAGCCGTGAGAGAAGCGGGCAGGCAGCCATCGGTGGGGCAGCAGTGCCGGGCTGACACCCGGACGCCCGTAGGAGCCTTTAGAGAGCAGGTCAGCGGCTGCCCGGACTAGAAGCCCTTCACTGGAGACACAGCTGATGGACCAGAGCCTCAGCTCCTCGGGGCCCAGATGGCCTCCGTGCAGGGCGACCCGGGGCAGCACAGACACTGCTGCGGAGGAGGGTCCCAGGCGAGGCAGCCGTGCAACCACCGTTGGGGGAGAATTTTCACGGCAGGCTAAAGACACATGCACTTGTAAAGATGCTTTTTTTGTTGTTTCTGTAACTAAACTTTAGGTGGGACTGGTGAAAAAAATGACCTTAACACAAGTCCACGTTCCCAATACACAGTGAGGCCAAGCAGTACTGAAATGTCAGAGTATAGAGCAGAGAAAGGATTACTGCAGGGCCACGCAAGGAGATGGGTGGCTCATGCCTTAAAAATCCCAAACTCCTCAAAACCTTTCAGGAAAGCCCTTTTCTAGAAAAGGTGATGGGGGGTGTGGTTGGTTGTGGCAGACCTCTTGGTGTCAGATCCTTTGTCCTTGAGGTCGGGTCATGGTCAGCTAACAAGATTCCTGTAAATCTCCACCACACAAATGTTCTTCTCTGCTCTGACAAGAAAGGGCACGGCCTCAGGACACACACGTCTCTCTCTGAGGTCGCAGTCCTGGCTGAGGAGCAGGCTCAGCTGGTGGCCCCCCCAGGGCCAGGCATCCCCAGACCCTGCTCAGCTCTCGTCCCCAAGAGAGCCAGGCTCCCGGGACCCCACTGACACTCGGACTCCTCAGGGGGCAGAAACGGGCGGCAGGGGTCAGTTCCTGCAGACTGCGTCCATGCAGACCACCACCGCCGTTGAGATGCAGACACAGGTGTGGGGTGAGGCTCACCACTGCATTAAGGTCTGGGCCACGGCCAGCGGGTGGCCTTGGCGAGGGCTCTGGAGCCCTGCAATAGCCCTGGGCCCCAGATAACCTGCTGGCCCAAGGCGGAGTGAGCTGGGGGCATCAGGGAGAAGGCCGGGGTCCACCGCTCACCTCACTTGCCGCCCGACAGCCACCATCAACAGCTGGTTGAATTGGTACTAATGGTCACTCACGGACAGGTGGTCCCTTAAGGGAATCACTGCGGTGCCAACCGGTGGCTGAGCAGGACCACCCACAGCTGGTCATTGACAGTTGATTGCTGTGGGCAAGCCACTGTGGCACTGACTAGTGGCTGAGTGGGACGACCAGTGGTCACGTGCTGAGTTGCCTGGTGATGGCGGTGGGTAATGACACACAGCAGTGACTTTGTGCCAAGGGCAGAGCTCCACCACAATATCACACCTAAGTATGAACAGAATTTCTGAATTTTGAGACAAAGAAACATCTTAAAAACTTTTCTGTGTTGGCCTCTGCGTGGCCCCCTCACGAAAACTGGGACATGGGAGTCTTACACGAGACGTGGCCCCGCTGTGGGAAGGCACAGGCTCCACTGCTGGTGGGCAGGGGGCTCTGAGCTGTGTCAGTGACACCGTGTGTTGGCTACAGGTTGACTTCCTTCAGTGCGTGAAGTTAGATACACTGCACTGTAGGCTGTTGGACAGCACAGGTCTGAGCTATGTGAGTCCATGTGTGCGCAGGTATGTCCAGTGGTGAGTGCTCTGGGACTGCACTGTCCTAGCTGGCTGAATCTGTGGATGTGGGGAGCCACGTTCTCAGAGGGCTAAGTTACACTCAGACTTTCCACTTCGCCAAGGGTTGGCATCCTAAACCCCTGCGTTGTTCAAGGGCCACCTGATTTCTCTTGATCTCTCTGAACGTGGCTACTAGAAAGTGTCCAGTTACCCTGAGCATGTGTTGCTACTAGACAGGGCAGGACTCGGGCAGGCCCAAGTGCCTGTGACAGCTCTGGGCTGGAGATGGAATAAGCTGAGAGGCTGTGGTGGGGCCTGGATCACACCTTGTCTCAGCAGGAACGCAGAGGTTGGCTGGCCCACACCCTCTGAAGGAGCTTGGGGGAGGGAGAAGCAAGGGGAAGGGCTGACAAGCTGCCTCGCATCTGTGAGCCCCCAGCAAGCATCACTGGGGACGGGTTCAGGGGTGGGAAGTGAGGGGTGTGCAGGTCGTGAGCGATTGAGGACGTGGTGTGCGTCATGTGCTGTTGGGGAAGCGGGCCTCATTCACCGGCGCTCAGTGGGCCGCTGACCATGGCTGTGGGAGGGGCGCACAGACCGCACCGCTCCGCGAGCCTGTGTTAATCGTGAGCAGGTCCTCCTGGGGCCAGGGCACGGCCTCGTGCGGGAAGGAGGCAGTGCACCGGCGAGCATGGGCCTGCGAGGGTGCTCTGTCTGTCTGTCCTGGGGTGAGTGTGGGCCCGCGAGGGTACTCTGTCTGTCCTGGGGCGAGTGCGCGCCCTGTGAAGGTATTCTGTCTGTCTGTCCTGGGGTGAGCACAGGCCCGCGAGGGTACTCTGTCTGTCTGTCTGTCCTGGGGTGAGCATGGGCCCATGAGGGTGCTCTGTCTGTCTGTCCTGGGGCAAGGGTGGGCCCCGTGAGGGTGCTCTTGTCTGTCTGTCCTGGGGCAAGTATGGGCCCCATGAGGGTATTCTGTCTGTCCTTCTGTCCTGGAGTGAGCACGGGCCCACGAGGGTACTCTGTCTGTCTGTCTTGGGGCGAGCATGGGCCCGTGAGGGTGCTCTGTCTGTCTGTCTGTCCTGGGGTGAGCATGGGCCCGTGAGGGTGCTCTCTCTGTCCGTCTCTCCTGGAGTGAGCGCGGGCCCGTGAGGGTGCTTTGTTTGTCTGTCTGTCCTGGGGCAAGCGCGGGCCCACGAGGGTACTCTCTCTGTCCTGGGGCGAGCGCGGGCCCTGTGAGGGTGCTCTCTCCGTCCGTCTGTCCTGGGGCGGGGCAGCTCCTGGCCGGCGGCCCTGTCCTGGTGCCACGTCGCCCTGAGTCTCTGTGACACGGCACTTACTCCACTTACATGAGGGACAGCAGCTACTTCAGTTCTCTCCTTGTTCTGTTGCAAAACATTTTTATAGTTATTTTGTGGAAGTGTAAGTTTGTGCAGTTTGGTCACTTTTCTGTAGCTAACTCTCTCTCTGTGTTTCAGGTTTCTCTACGAATCATCATCAAGAACTTTGGGAGCACTTTTGAATTCATAACCAAGCCAACGTCTTGATCATGTAAAAACAGAGGAAAAAGACTTTACAGAAAGTGAGATGAATGTGTATTTTTCTAGTTTTTTAATGTTAATAACCCATATAATAGAGAAGAGGTGGGGCTTCTTTTGGGGTGGGTGTGAGTAGAAAACTCAAAAATGCTTAACATTTTTGTGGCGTGCCTACACAAAGGATACATTTAATGTACCAGGCTCTAGGTGTCAGTGGTGCAGAAACCCACAGTGCATGGAAAAAATGTTTTCTAGCAAACCTGATTGTTATAAAAATGACTTTTATATATAATATTGCTTGGAAACGATGAGTAGCAAAGTGGTGACAACACCTGTTTGTGTACTTGATTCATAAATACAAGTGCGCGTTTTCCCCTCCAGCGACAAGGACTGGGCCTGGGTCTCCGCCAGGGGCAGCTGTGAGACCCCCAGCGGGGCCGAGTGGGTGTGGGGAGAAGGCCACTTGGGGGCCTGCTGCAGCCGTGCCCCCTGCCCCCGGGCGTGGACTGGGTCATGAGGCTGTGCGCACAGCGCGCAGACCCGGTCATCCAGCCCAAGGCCGAGCCCCCTTTGCTTCCCGAGAGCCGCCCCACTGACTTCATCTCAGCACCCCTGTGACCAGGGCCTCCGTGCTCTGGTCCCAGCAGTGGTGGCTCCAGGCAAGGCCGGCGCCTTCATCCTGGGTGCTGCATTAAATGCACACACGTTTGGTCTCAGCCCCAGCAGGAAGGGAAGCAGTGCCGATTGCGCAGGGCCTCTGCCCCTCCAAGAACGGCCTGCGGTACAGCCACAGCGCTGAGGGGAGGCCTCATGGTGGGGCATCTGCGGCTGCGGTGGGCTGCTTGTCGCAGCTAACTCTGAACGTGAGACCCTACACGTAGTGAACACTACACTCATGTGTGACGACAGCGTGTGGGTGAGCAGGACGAGAACACTGAATACTACACTCACGTGTGACGACAGTATGTGCATGAACAGGACGAGAACACTGAACACTACACTCAACGTGTAACGACAGTGTGTGTGTGAACAAGACAAGAACACTGAACACTACACTCACGTATGACAACAGTATGTGTGTGAACAGGATGAGAACACTGAACAATACACTCATGTGTGACGACAGTATGTGAGTGAACAGGATGAGAACACTGAACACTCACGTTTGATGACAATATGTGGGTGAACAGGACAGGAACATTGAACACTCACGTGTGACGACAATATGTGGGTGAGCAGGATGAGAACACTGAACACTACACTCATGAGTGACGACAGTATGTGCATGAACAGGACCAGAACACTGAACACTACACTCACGTGTGATGACAGTATGTGTGTGAACAGGATGAGAACACTGAACACTGCACTCAGGTGTGACAACAGTATGTGCATGAACAGGACGGGAACACTGAATACTACAGTCACGTGTGACGACAGTATGTGCGTGAACAGGACGGGAACACTGAACACTCACGTGTGATGACAGTATGTGCATGAACAGGACAGGAATACTGAACACTACACTCAGGTGTGACAACAGTTTGTGCGTGAACAGGAGGAGAACACTGAACACTCACGTGTGATGACAATATGTTGGTGAACAGGACAGGAACATTGAACACTCACGTGTGACGACAATATGTGGGTGAGCAGGACGAGAACACTGAACACTACACTCACGTGTGACGACAGCATGTTTGTGAACAGGATGAGAACACTGAACACTACACTCATGAGTGACAACAGTATGTGCGTGAACAGGATGAGAACACTGAACACTACACTCATGTGTGACAACAGTATGTGCGTGAACAGGATGAGAACACTGAACACTACACTCACGTGTGACAACAGTATGTGCGTGAATAGGACGCGAACACTGAACACTACACTCACGTGTGACGACAGTATGTGCATGAACAGGACGGGAACACTGAACACTACACTCACGTGTGACGACAGTATGTGGGTGAACAGGATGAGAACACTGAACACTACACTCATGTGTGACAACAGTATGTGCGTGAATAGGACGCGAACACTGAACACTACACTCACGTGTGATGACAGTATGTGTGTGAACAGGAGCAGAACACTGAACACTACACTCATGTGTGACAGTATGTGGGTGAGCAGGACGGGAACACAACACTACACTCACGTGTGACAACAGTATGTGGGTGAACAGGACGAGAACCCTGAACACTACACTCACATGTGACAGTGTGTGGGTGAACAGGTTGGGATGAAGATACTTCCTGCTGGTCCACCCAGCTCGTTTCCTGCCCGCCCACTCACAGAAGGCTTCCGATGCGTCATCACAGTTGCAGTAAAGGTAGGTCCCTTAATGGGGGGTATCGCCACTACCAGTGAGGAAGCCCTTCTTCCTGCATCCATGTCCGGGTCTCCGGAATCCTCTGAGTGCCCAGCCCTCCCATGGTCACCCCAATTGCTCTGAGCCTTGGGGTGCAGCTCCTGCCTCCCCACTCTGGGCTGTTCCCTAGTGCCGGCAGCACTCTGGGACACAGCTGAACCCTAGGCAGGACGAGGGTGCACTCGGCGGCAGGCAGTGGTGGCCCGTCCTGAGCTGAACTGGGAAGCCTCTGCAGCAGTGGGATGGGGAGCGCTGCCCCCACCTCAAGGGGCTCTGAGGGTGTCACAGGCTGGCAGCTGTGGGCCCGTTAGAGGTGTCTCTCCTGGGGGTCTGGCAGCCCACCTTCCCTCCTGGTGGAACCAGGACCATCTGATGACTCACAGTTGGTTCATGGTTCAGACAGACCCAGGCTGTGTTTGTGCGATAAAAACAGGCCAGCTGAAAGTGGCCGATGGCAGTTCTGATGGAATCAGTCAACAGTTTGAATTTCATCATGGCTGAGGAGAGTGAGGGCCAAACTAAGACAAGTAACTTGGGTCGTCTGTCACTCCCGTTTCAGGAACCTACCAACACATGGGCTGTCTGCTCTCTGGAAGCCTGCTCCGCAGCTGTTGCTTTGGAGCGCGGGTCCTGGTTGAGTAGCAACCCAGCGGGCGTGCCAGCCTAGTGCACTGGGCAGCTGCTGACATGAGGGAAGGCCCCGTCAGCTGAGGGCCTGGGGTCCATGAAGGAGCCTGCCTCCTGGAGGCTCCCACGCTGCCATCCTGGTGCATCCCCTGCAGCGGCCATGCTTTCAGAACAGAGAACGGGAGGCCCAGCTCCCCATCCCGACAGCTTTCTGGACCCAGTGAGGTGTCATGGTTAGGCTGGTCAGCTCGAGCAAGTCCAGAGTGCTGACTGACGGGCTTGCCAGCCGTCTCCTCTGTCTCCACGCATCAGTGCCAAGGCCGCGGAGCCAGGGTCTAAGCCCCACTCGTGGGGGGAGTCCCCCTCTGCTTCCTCCTCGGGTAGGCAGGAGACCCCGAAGGGACACCTGGCTCATGGGCCTTGAAAATGTTGGGAGAGTCATTCCTTGACCCGTGTCTGCAACTGTGTTCTAACTGTGCAGTGCGGGACTGGATCACACACAGGCCCCGGCAGGTGTGTCAGCGGGAAAGGCACAAGACTGGGTCCGCGCGGGAGACGCCCACCTCACCTGAGAGTGTGAAGCGAGCACACGTTTGGGTGTGCGCAGCACACACTGGACAGATCGCGCGTGTGTGCCGCTGGCAGCACTGACGTTTGTTCACACACACATGTCCTCGATGGCACCCACGTGTGTCCTTGCTCCTGTGTGCACACTTACCCCTATGTGTCAGGGCATGGGCTTCCTATCGTGACCACCTCCCCAGCGGCAACCCAGAAAGGGCTGAGCGCAGCCATCCCGCTCGTGGGGAGTCGGGCTGCCTCGGAGCTGGCCCTGTTCCCTCACGAGGTTCCCTCTCCCCCTCCTTCCTCAGGGCCCGTCTGCCCCGGGAGTTTCCTCTGTCCTGCCCCCGGTGGCAGAGTGCAGCCGGGTGCCAGGAGAAGCAGGGCCCAGCACGGTCTACCCTGCTCGGACCCCCGCCCTCCTGTGGTTCCTAGCCTCTCCCCGTGGGCTGTGACTGCAGCTTCCCTGCGGTCCCTCCTGTGCCTCCGGTCTCCACGCTCCATTTCGGGGGCCTTGCCCTCTGACTGTTGCTGGGACTGTCAGTCCTAGAGCTGGCCCCGGGATGAAGCAGGGCCTGTTTCTGGAAACCACCGTTCGCAGCACCCAGGCAAACAAGACAGGAAGGAACAGTTCCGGGCCCTCCCTGGAGCCCGTGTAGCCACACGGAGGGGAGTGCCACAGCCCCAGACGCCAACAGCTCCGCGGGGTGTGGGCTCAGAGCGCCAGGCTCCCCTGGGTCCTTCACCACGGCCTGCCGACGCATGCCCTCGGATTTGCTGCTGACGGAGACCTGTCCATGGGACAGGTGGACCTAGGCCCCTTGGTGTCTCGAGGACGTCACTGGACAGTTTGAGTGGTAAAGACTCTGCCTGCAGTGCGGGAGGCCTGGGTTCGATCCCTGGGTTGGGAAGATCCCCTGGAGATGGGAAAGGCTACCCACTCCAGTGTTCCTGCCTGGAGAATCCCACAGTCCACGGGGCCGCAAAGAGTCGGACACGACAGCGTGGTTCTCTCGTTCATGCTTCAGAACCACTTACCACCTGTCACCAACACACTCTACCTTCTACCCGCTCTGGTCTTGCTCTTGCCTTCTCCGTGTTTCTGTCAGCGAGTGTGTCACAGCCGGCTCTCCGGACGTCAGAACAGCTGTGCCCCTGGCCTCCGGCCCCCGGCGGTGCTGGGGTGCTCCGCGGGGCTGAGGGACGGCCCCCTGAGCCTCTCACCCCAGGGGTGCGTCCAGCGGGGAAGGGTGCACAGGGCTGACGCAGGCCCAGCTGCAGAGGATCGCGAGGGAACTGCCGCCCCGAGAAGCCCACTCTCCACGCTCTCTCCAGCCGCTGGGCTGCCTTTGGGGGACGCACGGGAGGAGGGAACGATGCTGGGACCATGGTGGACGCGTCCTGTGGGGGATGGGCACCCCAGCGGGCGGACGGTACCCTCGGGGGGCTGCCCCGAGGCCACCGGGTCAAAGACAGGATGGGACTTAGGCCCAGCCTGCTGGGCCTGGGGGACAGAGGCGCTGCCTCTGGGCACAGGCGTGGGGCTGCGGGAGGAGGCGGACGGGCCCTGCATTCAACCCCGTCCGCGGGGCCGGTCCAGCCGTTGGCCACCCCAGTGCCCGCACAGCCCCGCCTCGTCTGGGCCAGGAGGCTGGGGGGAGGGCCACGGGCACAGCGGACCCGGGGCCAAGCCAGGGAGCCTAGGACGCTGAGGGCCGAGGGGGCAGCATGTGAGGACACACA